AATTCAGCAAGGAGGCCTGGATGGGATGGGAAGGGCTAAGCCTACTAAGTTCTGGGACGGAGGACAGGTAATGTTGGAGTCACACACCATTCTTAGCTGTGGGACCCTCAATCAGAGAGTGGGATCTGTGTATAAAGTGTACTAGCAGATTCATCTCTCCTAGTTGGTTCTCAAAGAAAGGTGAGCATGGCAAGCCCTGAGGGGCTTTGAGCAAATACTGAGAGACAACGATGAAAGGTTGAGCAAGGACTTCCCTGAGGAGAATGGGGGAGGTGGAATATTTATGGTGGAGTGCGCATGCGCATGCGCGCACTTGCTCCTGAAAGCACTTGCTCCTGACGTCAGGTCAGTGAACCTGGAGGTGGGCGGGGCCTCGCTTCGGTGATCCTCCTGTCCATTCCCACAACCCCAGGTTGCAGATGCACTCACCCATGCCTGGCTTTTCACCTGAGTGCTAGGCAGCCATTCTTACCCACTGAGCCATCTCTCTAGGCCACAGATAAGAGTATTCTCATCACTCTCTAGAACCTCTGGCTTCTCTGCCCAGTACTCAGCAGTGACGTCATGTTCTGAACCATCCATGCCTGATAAGAGCTGACGGTGTCACCCCATTCTTCAACAAAGGCTTCATATCTGTCACTTCTGATGTCTGATTTGAATTAGGTGACATTTTGTCTCTTTCAAGAGTGGTATAACAAGAACGATAAACCCTAAGCCAGGCATGGTGGCTCATGCCATTAATCCCAGCATTTAAGAGGCAGAGGCAGGTGGATCTCTGTGGGTTTGAGGCTAGCCTGGACTACAGAGTGAGTTCCACCACAGCCAGGGCTACACAGAGAAACCCTGTCTCTAAAAAAAGAAAAAAGAAAAGAAAACAAAGATAAACTCAGGTCATTTTATTTCCTCAGAAATGGAAATTTTCCCTATCTTGGTTTTACCTTAAATGTTATTAAAATAGAGGCAATTTTTCTACATCCTCTTGCCAATGGCATAACCCAATTGTGTGGTCAGAGATTTTTGCTTTGTTTTGGTTTTCATTTTTTTGTTTCTGTGGTGATGGAACTAATGACTTGAGCATGCTGGTTAAGAGCTATACCACCACCCTGTCCTTTCAGCCCCAAAGCCAGTGACAGGTACTTTAACCAAGGGGAATCTTAAAAACCAAATCAAAAAGCGAAGCACTGAGGGTCCTGTGAGAACCTGTGAGATCGAGGGCCCAGACAGAGTGGGTTCCCTTGTCCTTCCTGGGCTGTGGGAGCCTCCTGCAGTCCTGACTGGGGTTGAGCTATACCCAGTCACAGTCTTGCCAAATGTTCTCTTCAGAATGGGAGTCTGTTGTAGAAGGTTGTGGGGAGCCTAGGGTCACCTTGTACAGATGGAGTCTGGGATCTTCTGATGAGAAGGACCAGCCCCTTCTCATTGCCTCAGACTTTCGTTGCCACACTGGCTCGCCTCTTGCCTTGGCAGCTCCTTGGGCAACCTCAGCAAAGGCTATGTTTGTGAAGTAGGAATGGTGTGTTCCCACGCCTCAGGTGCTCATGCTCTGAGCACGCAGTGGTATTGGGTAGGAGAGCACAGTGGAGAGAACAGATGGGGAAAGAAGCCCCCTCCCAGGCTAAAAAAGGACACAGAGGAAGGGAAATGAAGTTGAGAACAGAATTAGACACATGCTGTGTCCACTGATGTGAAAGTAACAGTACATCCAATGGAAGGAGGGACAGACAGAGAGCCGTGTGGCGATCTAGCCTATTCAGATGGTAGTAAAGATGTGTGTGTGTGTTGGTCTGACTCGAAAAGTTACACGGAGCAGGACGTTAATGTTGGTGTCTCTTTGTTTGGATTACTTTTGTGTTTTGAATTGTTTTTTCAAGATGGATGCTTTCCCTGATCAAGTAAGATGATACTGTTTCAATTTGAAAATGGGGACTGTTTGGCATGACCTACTGGTCCCCCAAACTCAGGCCTCTTGTGCACTTGTCCTGGCTGAACAGAGGTTCCAGTCTCATCACCCCATTGTCAGGTGGGCTTAATTCTGGACTAGGGCAGCAGATTGTGAGCCTGGCTCCCACAAGCTCTGTGTCCAATACTTCTGGATCAGAGAGCTGCCCAGTTAGTGGCAGTTGCTGTAAGGAGCCTCAGACATCCTGTGGAAGGCATCCATTAGCTAGCTCCTCTCTCTCATCCAGCAGAATAGCACTGGAGATCTTCCTTGCACTACCTGAGGCAGGTCAGGCAGGTCAGGTCAGAGAGAGCCTTTAGACCATCCTCATCAAGTTATCACAAACCTTCTTAGTGGGCTCCCTTCCCCCTCCGCCCTGTCAATACAGCCTGAGGTTGCTAGGTCTCACCCCAGTGACAGTTGAAGGGATAAAGCCTCTAGTGTCAGTTGTCCTTAGAGTCAGCACTGAGGTTAGAGAAAACTGGCTGCCCCAGTGGTCACATACAGGCTCTTTCCCCGCCTCACTCTCCTCTTGTCTTACTTCCTGGGGTCCTGGGGCTCCACTCCAGATGCCTATATGTTTGCCTTTCCAGCAAAGCCTTTGGAATTGAGAACTCTTGACTTCAACACTAATCCCTGTGTACAAGCTGACATCTGTGTGATGAGGGTTACCTCCCCACTTCCTGTTTTCATTGTCCATTGACCAACTTTTCAAGAGTTAAAAAGGCCACTCCAGGAGTGTTAATTCCTAGTATAAATTCCCGAAAAAGACCCCACCATATAGGGTTATGTAGGGGTAGATGAGGATCTCCTTGGGGAAGGTTGGAAGGCACAGATGTGCAGACTCTACCACTCCCAGGTTACAAGATCTGGTTCAAATCACTTGTCTTTCAGCCTCTGTGTGACATGCTGACCAACATAATCCTAATCCTAATCACAAATAGAGGCTGCCTTCTCCACACATGGCCACCAGCCAGAGAAGCAGCAGCGTCTGAGGAAGAGAAACATGTCTCTGTAAGCGGAAGCACATCCCAAATGGAAATGACACAAGCCGCAAAGACATCCGTTTCCTTTTTAGCAGAGGAAGATAGGTGTGGGAGTTTAGGTCTGGAAGAGTTACTGGCCACGCAGTGCTAGGCAGGTAAGAACAGGCCACCGCCTGGGTGCCCGAGACTTTGTGTGGAAAGGATGGCCAACCATGGGGGAGGAAGTAGAAAAACAAACTTCTCTTTCCAGAAGTTGCCTCTGGGGCTATGCCTCATCAAGCCCTGGTTATGGTGGAAGCCAAAGAGCCCCTGTGGGTTCACGAATTCCTGGGGCAACTGGGAACTGATTTTGTCAAAAGCATCCATTGAATCTAGCCCATGAGTCATGTGTTTGGTGAAAACTCCAAGGTGCCGCGGCCTGGCAGCCTCTCCGGGAGAGTGGCCCGTTGTGGCCACAGCAGCTCCACTGAAAGGTTGGACAAGGCCCAGGCTGCGGAGGCCACATACCTCAGCTGCCCAGCTGCCTCACGGGCTTCACATATCTTTTAATTATAAAACCTGTACTTGGGACTTGAGGACCTAGGAAGACATAAACATTAACCTCCGGCCTCCTCATATGTCCACTTGCACACATGTGCCCACATACATGAACACTACAATGCACACAACTGATGCTCAGTGAAAAATAAAACCAAACTAAACCATGATCCGCATCCCTAAGGATGCGTGCATTATCAGTGTTGATGTAGTGCCTTTCCCCCCTAGCACGGAGTACAAGCCAGGTCAGACAGATTATGCTTTGTGACACATAGTTCCCAAATGAAGGAGAATGACCTTAGCCCAGAATCGGATACCCAAGGCCAGGGTCCTCTCTCCTTCCTGGATATTCCTTGTCTTTGTTCCACCCCCACCCTAGCTCTTTTCTCCTTAATATTTCTATTTAAACTGTGTGTGTGTGTCTGTGTCTGTGCATGTGCACTCTCACACGTGTGCAAGGGCACCAGTGGGGTGGGGGGCGCAGTATGTGAACCTGTAAGTGCGGATGACCTTGGAATCCAGAAGAGGGTATCAGGTCCTCTGGAGCTTACAAGCAGTTGCAAGCTGTTCCTTATGGGTGTTGGGAATTAAACCTTGGTCCTCTACAAGAGCAGAAAGCACTCTTAACCACTGAGCCATCTCTCCCTGATGTCCTGACTCTTAAAGCAATAGTGACGGAAAGGAAACCCTTTATCATCCAGCATGATGCTTACATTGCTTTAAGTCAGGTAGTCTTTGCCAATATTAAGTGCAACCATGATTCCTTTTTTAAAAGCTACTTTAAAAGCCCCCGGTCTGGCATTGACTGTATTGAACACTTCTTTATTCTATTTTTCCCTTATTTTACTTTTTACATTTTTAAAAGGCCTCCCTGCCTGTTCTCTGTGTCCCACTGTTCTCTTTTCAAAGTGTTCAATGGAGAAAGAAAGGAAAATTTCACCCAGCCTGGAACTTAGCGTCTTAACTTTAAGTAAGGAGGAATTTGTGTATCTTTGGAGTGACAGGCCAGTCATTAGAAGGAACTTTGCTTAGCTACCCAGTCATTTAGTCACTAAGTCTGTCCTTGCTTTGTTGTGTCTAAGGGTGAAGTGGGGATATGATGCATGTACGTGGGCCGTCACCTCGAGACTTAATTGAACAGATGCTGTTGTCCAGGTAGAGCAGTAGTGCTCAACCTTCCTAATGCTGTGACCCCTTAATACAGTTCCTCATGTTGTGGTGACCCTCCAATCATAAACTTACTTTTGTTGCTACTTCATAATTGTAATTTTGCTACTGCTATAAAAACAAATATGTGATATGCAGGTAGCCTTAGACAACCCCATGTGACAGGGTCATTCACCCCCAAAGGGGTCAAGACCCACAGGTTGAGAACCACTGAGGTAGAGTATCCAGAAGAGAGGGGTGCCTTGGAGTGGCTGATCAACCAAGGTGTTTTACAGGGCACCAGGGAGTTTAAAGCCCACGGTTCAGACTTCTGCAAGCCCAGAGCATGATGGTAGGATGACACCAGCTGCAATGGCCTCTTCTCTCCCCAGAGCTGTCTCAACAAACAGCAGCTCCTCACAACCATCCGCCAGTTGCAGCAGCTGCTGAAGGGCCAGGAGACCCGCTTCACTGAAGGCATTCGAAACATGAAGAGCCGGCTGGTTGTTCTGCAAAACACTGTTAACAAAATGACCCCGGATGCATCTCCAGGTGGGTCCTAAATCATCAGAACCTCCCCGAAGAAACTTACACTCAAGAACCTTCCCTGAAACTCTCCCCATCCAGTTTGTCCTTCATGTGTGCACACAAGTGTGTATTGTGTGTGTGTGTTTATATGTATGTGAGAGATAAAGAGTATGTGTGAGCGAGTGCATGCATGAGAGTATGTATGTGAGAGAAAAAGTATGTGTGTATTTAGTGTGTGTGTGAGAGAGTGTGTGTATTGTGTATGAATGTATGTGTAGATGTGTGTGTGTATTAGTATGTGTGTGAGAATGTGTGTATTGTGTGTGAATGTATGTGTAGGTGTGTGTATTAGTATGTGTGTGAGAGAGTGTGTGTATTGTGTGTGAATGTATGTGTAGGTATGTGTATTAGTATGTGTGAGAGAGTGTGTGTATTGTGTGTGAATGTATGTGTAGGTATGTGTGTATTAAGGTTACTCCTCTCTCCTACATTTGACAGTCACCTATTTCCAGGTTTTTTAAAAAATGATTTACTTATGAGTGGCTGTACGTATGCACATGTGTGTACATGTGCCCAAGGAGACCAGAAGAAGGCATTGGATCCCTGGTCCTCTGCCAGAACAGCAAACAGTTTTAACCGTTGAACTCTCCCCACAGTCCTCTTCTTTCATTTTTATCGAATGTAGTTCAAGTAGCTACATAACTTGGCTTCAGACTTGCTGTGCAACCAAAGATAATCTTGAACTCTGGACCCTCCCACCTCTGTCTCCCAACTGCTGAGATTATGGTTTGCATCCCTAGGCCTAGTTTTAGTTTTTTGGTGTTTTTGGTTTTTTGGGTTTTTTTGTTTGTTTGTTTGTTTGTTTGTTTGTTTGTTTTGTTATTTCAAGATAGGCTCTCAATACATAGCTCAGGCTGACAGGGAACTCAAAGCTCTCCCATCACTGGCTCCCAACAGCTATGGTTTGTCACCACACTCAGCCCATTTCCTCTCTTTTATTCTAGGCTTAATAGCTACATAGGTAGCAACCTATGATCCCACAAAATTGTCAAAAACATCCCTTTGCAAGCAAAGGTGCTTTTCAGTTCCCTGCCCTCCCCAGAGGGCAGAGTCAACCCTGGTTTTGCTTTTGGTCCTGTTTTTATTTTTAGCGCAATAGCCTATTTTTCAGACTGGTCTTAAGTTCACAGCCTGGAAGGTTCAGATGCTTCTCACATCTGCCCTCCAGGCAGGCATGCCGCCCTTACACCCTGACCTACCAAGCATGCTGCACTTACAATGTTTGTTATTTTCCATGAACAAGCATGGCTCTGGCTTTTCATTCCTGAAAGTTCATTCTCCAGTGACTCCTCCCATTTAGGGTGGGAAGAAAGGGCTTTGAAGGCAAGTCCCACTTATCTGGGGTACAGTGGAGCACCCCTGTTTACCTCCACTAAGGGAGAGCTGTAATGCTGGGGCATGTCTTCCTGGTGACATCTTTTATACCTTCTAGGCTTAGAAGTGAGTTTCCCCTGGTCTAGGGGCTCAGGGGACAGGAGATAGAACCTGTGGGATGTCTGGCATCATTGACGCCTATACTGTAGCTTCATTTCTTTGAGTCTCCTTTGTTGTGTGAGGTACCATTTCCAGAGAAAGTTTTCATCAGAGGTTCAGTAAATCCCACTTCTTTCAGGGCTGATTTATAGAGCATACTCTGTGTGCCAGGCACTTGGCTGGGGCTGGGGCTACAGAAAGAGCACAGGCCAGAATTCACTCAGGCAGAGAACACTGATAGTGACGATAATGATCTCGAAGACACACCCGGGCAGTCACAAAGGCTAAGAGGAAAGCAAAGCAGATGAGGGATGGAGACGCATGGTAGCCAAGGCTTCATCTGGGAAGTGGTAGCATTTAAATGAAGACCTGAAGAGCAGGGAGAGCCAGCCTGGAGGTAAGCTGAACCTGTCAGGATACTTTAGACACCCACTAGGCTGGAGATAAAAGAAAATGGAGGCAGTTAAGTGGGCATCTCACCAATCTGACACTCTGTACCACACTTCGAGGTCCTGCATATACAAGACTCCAAGTCTCTGAGCCCCAGTCTCCTCAGTTTTCACTAGGCCAACAGTGTGTTCTCCTCCTCGTCTCCAAGAACACTGGGAGGTTTCATGAGATATGGCATTTAGAAAGTCCACGGCCATGCTCAGCCTGCAGCAGTCATTCAACACAGAGAGAGGTCTTATGAGTGATATCCGTGCTTCCATGACTGCAGCCCAGTGGGTAAGGCTCCTAATCCCTGCTCTCCTCTGTACAGTTTCCTGCCCAGCTCTGGATGCTCCTCCTGATGGCAAGAAGTTTGGAAGCAAGTACTTAGTGGACCATGAAGTCCATTTTACCTGCAACCCTGGGTTCCAGCTGGTTGGGCCCAGCAGTGTGGTGTGTCTTGCTAACGGTACCTGGACTGGAGAACGGCCCCGCTGCAGAGGTATGGCCATTCTGCCTTGTCTACACCGTATTGAGTATGCTGGTCAAAAAGGGTCATCCCAGAGACATTGTCTGATTCTTTTTTTTCCAGCTGTGTCTGTGTGTCTATCTGTATTTGTGTGTGTGTGTGTGTGTGTGTATGCACATGTGTGTGTACATGTGTTTCTTGTGTTTGAGTTGAATACATGCCACAGTGCTGAAAGGATGATCACTTAGGTGTCAGTGCTTGCCCTCAGTATGTTTGAGACAGGATGTCTTGTTATTTGCCAGTCAGCAAACTTCCAGGGATTATCTCTAGTTTCATCGTAAGAGCTAGGATTATAGAAGCCTGCTACCTTGGTCTGAGGGGAGGTTCTGGAGATCCAAACTCAGATTTTCACAGTTAAGTGGCAAACATTTCACCCACTGAGCCATCTCCCCATCTCCATGGTTCTTCAGTCATCCCTCTGACACAAGCCAGGGGAACATGCCAGCCTCTGTGTCAGGCCTGAGCTGATCTCCATCGTCATGAGCAGTATTTCCTCTTTCTTATTTTGTTTGGGTTTGTTTGTGTGTTTGTTTTGGTTGTTTTTCTTTTTTGTGTTTGTTTATTTGTTTGTTTGTTTTGAGATAGGGTATCTCTTCAGAGCCCCAGCTGTTCTAGAATGATTAAAGTCATGTGCCACCACTGCCTGGCTTGATTTTGGTGTTTGTTTGTTTGTTTTTTAAGAAAGGGTCTTATAAAGCCCAGACTGACCTTGATCTCACTATACAGCTGGGAATAGCCTTGAAAGCCTGATCTTCCTGCCTCTACCTCCTACTTTCCAAAGGCCATGGATTTTATAAGGATTAGTTCTTAGAGGCCAGATGTGGTGTTGCACACTTTTTAAATTATTTATTTATTTTATATGTATGGGTGTTTTGCCTACATGTACCTCTGTACAGCATGTATATGCAGTGCCTTCAGAACCCAGAAGAGGGTATCAGATTCCTTGAAGTTTCAGACAGTTGTTAGCAGTCATGTGGGTGCTGGGAATGGAACCCGGGTCCTTTGGAGGAGCAACATGTGTGCTCTTAATCACTAAGCCAGCTCTCCAGCCCCAAAAAGTGTAAATCTTTTTTTTTTTTTAATTTTGTTTCTTGGTTATTTGAAAGAAGGTTTCTATGTGTAGCCCTGGCTGTCCTGGAACTTGCCCTGTAGATCAGGCTGGCCTCCAACTCACCAAGATTCTCCTACCTCTGCCTCCCAAATGCTGGGATTCAAGATGTTCAGCTGAGCAGTGGTGGCACATACCTTTAATCCCAGCACTCAGGAGGCAGAGGCAGGTGGATTTCTGAGTTAGAGACCAGCCTGTACTACAGAGTGAGTTCTAGGACAGCCAGGGCTATACACACAAAACCTGTCTTGAAAAAGATCGGGTGCAAGCTAGGTTTATTTACTCCAACTATAATCCTGGCACTTAAGAAGCTGAGCTGGGTGGGCTGCCTAGATTATCCTAGATGACAGAGAAGACCCTGCTTCAAAAACTTAAATTTAAAATAATTGAATCTAATCAACAAAGCCAAGCCCTGGGTTTATCTCAGCTAGAACAAACAAGGAACTAGAAGAGGGGATGGTTGCTCTGCCCCGGAGCTGCTGTCTGCTTGTGGGGCTCTTGGTAGAGTAGAAAGTCCTCAACTGTCCTTTGGGTCTAGGCTGGGACTTGGTGTGGACAGTTCTGGGAGAGGTCAGCATGGGAATAAAAGGTCTCTCTGTACTGGGCTTGAGAGCAAGACTGTTTGACATAAGAAAAGTGAGGCTTGGCACATGTAATTTATTGCTTTTCAAAAGCCTTTAGACCACAGTTTTAAAAAATCATGGCTGAAAATCATTTTTTTCAGGCATCCTTGGAACATCTTTTGAGGCAAAATGCCCATGATTTTAGTTAGGGTTACAGGGAGCATAAATCTTACACAAATGGAAGAGCAGTGTGGAGAGAGGACTTGGGGTGTGAGTTCATTTGAGGTAGGGCCCAGGCTGGTCTCAAATCCTCAGTCGGTACTAGGAATCTAACCAACGGTCTCATGCATGCTAGACCAGAGCCCTGCCACTATGCTACAACTGATAGCCCTGAGTACTTAGATCTTGAAAACTAACAGACCGCAGGAAGCATAGTGCCTCTCAAGAAGACTGACAGGAGGAGCCAAGACATGCAGCAGCGTCCAAGAGTCCAGCATCTTTCCTGTCTCCTGGAAGGGATGATGGATGGCTCAAGGGTGGATTACAGGTGTGAGCCCTCAGACCTCACCTGGAACCATCTAGGCAACAAATCTGAGCCATGCAAACACACCAGGGAAATGCCAGTGACTGGTCTTCCCGACTCTGAAGGAGTTCCATCCCATAAACACCTCATGGATGATAAAATGCCATCAGAGGAATTTGAACACAAGGAATTTTCTTTTCTTTGCTTTGACTATCTATAGTCTTAACTTCCAGGATTAGTTGCAGACCCCTGGTAGATTCTTTCTATGTCCACTCAGCACCTGCAGGTCCTATTCACGTGACTGCCTATGGCCTGATCTGCCTGTCCGTGTTCTGTAGTCTGAACCCCCAAACCTACCTGTCTCTTGCCCTGTCCTGGTGTCTTTGTGGTCCACCATGACAGGGCTGACACAGTCTTCTCATTTTCCCACCTTGTCCCTGCACTGAGTGTCTGTGTGTCTGTGGTGGAAGTCAGCACTTTTGACTGTGGACCTGAGTTCAATCTCTGGAACCTACATGGTAGATTGAAAGAACCATCTACCTAGAAATGCTTTCCTCTGACCTTCAAAAGCATACTGTCGCACGTGCTCATGCCTGTACATGCATGCTTACACACACACACAGACACACATACATGATAAATAAATAAATTTATTTATTTATAGCTGAGAGGCTGGAGAGAAGGCCCAGCAGTTAAGAGCTCTCACTTACTGCTCTTGCAGAGGACCTGAGTTCAGTTCTCAGACCCCCTGAATTACTGAGTTTGGATCCCCAGAATCCACATAAATGTCATGTGCAGAGGTGTCTGCCAGTAACCCCAGCACTGGAGAAGGAAGGGACAGGTTCCAGGAGATCCAACACCCTTTTGTGGCCTCCATGGCCACTGCATACACATGATACACAGACACACACATACACATAAGTGAATATTTTCCAACTTCCTCCAAAATATTAGGTGATAAAGAAGGACACATAGAACAAAGAAGACAAAGAGACACATGAGCCAGAAGATACTCTGGAGCTTTTTATTCCTCTGGTCAACTCTGTCATATGAATGTATGTATGTATGTATGTATGTATGTATGTATGCATGCATGTTTTTCATGATGGATAAGTGAATTCAAATTTTTTGATATTGAAATAGCTAGAACCATTAAATAAATTAATAAACAAAGTAATTGATAGTGAAGGCGTAAGAGCCCAGCTCCATGGCTCCAGAGTGGCTCGTCTAACTGTGTAGACGTTCACTGAGATGGACAGAGTCAGGACAGGGCCAGTGTCTGAGTGGTTGCCTTAAGCTAGCTGTGTCATGCTTTATTTGTGAGTTGGTTAGAATAAAGTGATTGTGTTTTTAAAAAAATGTTCAAAATGGGATCTTGGATATTTTTCATCTCATTAAGTGTAAACTGGGCCTGGATGCTTACCCTTTACTGATGGAACAGAATATTTGTATGCTACAACTCACTGGATCACCACCTAGGCTCAGCCTCTCCCAGGTTGGCATCCTGTGCCTACATTGGCACCCGAGGATGCTGTCTTCAGCCAGAGCCCCCACAGCAATGCCAGGTAGCTGCTATTGGATCTTCTCAGGGGACAGTGACAGTCTGGATGATACGGATGAGACCTAGTGTTGCTGAGGTTGTTAGGGTCAGAGCCCGAGCACTGGCAGCCTTTACAGCCTACATTTGCCCACCCATCCTTGTAGGTCAATTCAACAGACAAGTAATAGTGAAAAACAGGTTTGTTCATTGAAGCCACACCAGGGAGGGGAACAATAAAAAAGGTGCACTGACCACCTCACCAATCCATCTCTGGGGTCCTGACATGAACTTTAGGTTTAAATAGAGAGCAAGAGGTTTGTTTAAGTCACTATCAAGGTGTGGCATACCCACCGTCTTTATCTGGGCTTCAGTCTCTCCTGGGAAGATGACAAGTTGTCCACCTGTGTGAACCCGTGGGTCTGGGGAGATGACTCGGAGGATAAAGTGCTTGCTATGCAAGCATAGGGACCTCAGTGTGGAGCCCACCTAAAAGCGGGGTGTGATGGTGTACGCCTGTAACTCCAGCACTTGGGGGTAGAGGGACAGGCAGGCCACCAGAGCTTGCTGGCCAACTAGTCTAGCTAAAATTGATGAACTCTGAGATTTCAAAAACTAAGATGGAGGGACTGGAAAGATTGCTCAGTGGTTAAGAGCACTTGCTGCTCTTCTCTTCTAGAAGACTTGAGCCACATGGTGGCTCACAACTATCTATAACTCCAGATCCAGGGGATCCAATGCTGTATTCTGGACTCCATGACCATACATACACATGATACACAGACAAAACATGCAGACAAACACCATTCACATAAGTAAACTAAACATGGATGCAATAGAGAATATATTCAATGTTGACCTCTGGTCTCCATTCTGATATGCAACACCCCCCCACACACACACACATACACACACACTAACATATATACATGTATAACACACACACTCGAACATACACACATACACTGCCTGAGATACACTGAAGACTAACTGCATCCTCTTCCTGGGAGACAAGTTCCTTCTCTGGCTGGCACCAAACTTTAGCCTTTTCCTTTCCCCTAGGATGAAATTGCTGGGAGAGTTCCAATTATTGATGTCCATTGTCTCAGTACTATGAGAGCCAAGGGGTGGGGGTGGCGATTACAGATGTCTTCAGAACGTCTCTCCTGCCAAGACAGTTCCATTAGGCCGGAGCTCGGCAATCTCATGACCAGCATTAGAACAGCCCCAGCAGCTGCTGAG